ATTACTTAATAATCTTTTGGTTCCAAGTGTTAAGAACAATTATCTGAAAGTCTAAAATAAAGTAAAAAGATGGCTGTACAACTCTGGAAATCAAATTGGAACCCTGTCTGCCTAAAGGTTATCTGATTTTCTAGGGGATGTAAGTTTGACTTTATTATTGATTAGGCCCAGGTTCTATAAAGTTAGATGTGAACTTGTAGAAAATTAAGTTGCAAATGATTTTTGTCCAGTAAAGAAGATCATCTCAAAGGTTATTAGCATGTTATTACTTACAGCAGGGCTCAGCAAACTGTTTCAGCCAAGGCCAGATGATAAAAATTTTAGGCTTTGTGGGCCATACAGTCTCTGTTGCAACTACTCGGCTCGGCCATGGTATGTGGGAGCAGCCCCAAGACTGCTGTGAATGTGCATGGCTGTGCTCCAATAAAATTTCATTTGTGGACACTGAAATTTGAATTTCATGTCATTTTCACATGTTATGAAATATTGTCCTTTCTTTTTCCAGCTTTTTAAATGTAAAATCATTCTTAGTCTATGGGTACACAAAAAGAGGTGGTAGGTTCGATTTGATGAACAGGTTACAATTTGCCAATTCTTGGCCTATAGGTTTCATTGCCCTGTTGGTCATTAACTAATTTGTATTTAACTTGGGACTTTACTCTAGCATTTCCCCCTGCCACCCAACGTAAGTGGGTGTATAGTAGTTTCTCCTATCTTTTGAACCAATTTTTCCCATCCTGCTGAATTAAATAAGTCTTTGACCCACGATCACCATATATTTCCTATTCATTTTGAATCTGGAGTATGTGGCCATCTCTTTTGTTATTTTGGCTCCCCTAGTCACCAAGTGTTTTACCAAGATGTGTCCTAATAAAGACAGGTCTGTCCCTAACCGAAATTCTGATGCCTACAACTTTACCCCTTCCACTCTATTACCTCTATGAGGCCCTTTTAGCAACAACACTCTTCTCTGTAAAGCCAGAGGCCGGGGCTGGCACTGGGCTGGCCTGCACGAATGAAAGGCAATGAGTTAATGACACTGGTGGTGGCTAATGCACTACGGGGCTTGGCAAGGAGGTACCAGCGAATGTCAGGCTGCCAGGGCCCACGTGGAGGAGAGCAGGGCACGTGGAGCCTCCGAGGGCTCCTGCAGGGCTTCTCCCCACCTCCCCCCCGCACCTGCGCTTGCCACGCAGCTGGGGCCTCGCCCCTGCGGGTATATGGCATCATTAACACGGACCAGTGCTCCCCAGAAGGCTTGGCTTTGACAGGCCAACGTTACTGTTGGAGTCTTTCTATTGCACGGCACATAGCAATGACTCCAGAGGGCCTGGGGAAAAGTATAAGTTCCTGCCGAGGGGAGGTTCCCTGGGTGCCTGGCCGTTGTTTGGTTCTGTCAGGGGCAGGTGTTAATTAAATAGTCACTGGGCTGTGGGAGGTGGGCATTGCCCAGCCAAGGGGGGCCTGGAAAAACTGGCACCCCTCCCTTCGATTCAAGGCAGCCAAGAACACTCTGAAAAAATGCTCCTCTTTAATGATAGTCAAAGTGATATTAATTAAAACCAGTACCAGCAAAAACTATTATTATTGTTGTCATCTTTGCACAGATAAGGGTGGAAATTGGTACTACATTCTTGAAAGCATTTTGGTAATAAATATATTAAACATATCAGTGTTTGTCCCAGTCACTGTAGCTGGTCCTGGCCTGGGTCCTTGACCAAATCAAACCCATCCTTGGAGGTTATGAGAGAGAATGGAGTGAAATGTATAATATTTTTAAAGTAGCTATATATTTTTAACTACACAGTTATATATGAATATATGGTCATTGTAAAACATTTAAAATTACAGAGTAAACTAAAGTTCCCCCTTGGGACCATTACTCTCATCTCTGGGGGCCTTAATTTTACACTTTTGTGTGAACCCTTTCAGACTTTTTAATCTATATTTACAAATATATGTGTCTACAGAAGTAAGAAGTATAATTCTGTGAGGGAGATTTTGGATATGTAAGTGATGAAATATCTTATGCATTTTTCTGCAGCTGCTTTTATCCCTCAACAATACGCCCTGGACATGTTCTGAGTCTGTCCCTATAGGCTGCGCAGAGCTCCCCTGAGAGTTTACCTAACCGGCAGTTTCCTTAGGGCCTGGTGCTCAACCTCGTTTACCCCCCACCTCACACCCCCCCCCATAGATGGCGGAGGATGTTCACATTCATAACCCATGGCTGGCAGAGCTCCTATTACGGGGATGTTAAAAGAAATGAGCTTCCATGGCTCAAGTCCCTGACGCTCAATAGATGTTCAGAAGAAGAGCTGTGCGGCTCAACCTGGGTTGGAAGAGAAAGCCCTGGAATCTTCTGTTGATATGCTAACATGTTAACGTATGTGTGAGGATCAGGGGAGGGAAGGTAGAGCTCCCTCGAGAGGGCACCCCAGCTGGTCGGACCCTCTTTAAAAAGACGGATGTTGGGTTGTTGGCTCTGAAATTTGCTTCAAAATAACAGAGGTTTGACTTCTCTGTTTCTTTTAAAAATTATTATTATTCAAATTGGGCAAACCATTTAATTATGCCCCATCTGTTTCTTTGACAATTGACACAGCTCCTGAGTCTATTTTATGGCTCTACAGACAACACACAACTTATAAACTGAGCACAAGAGAAATGTGCTTCCTTCAGGGACCCTTCAAGGGGGTGAGATGAGGCCCTGCCCTTCTCTGAGAAGACTGCCCTGAGGCTGTGGTCAGCCTTCTGTGTTTTCAGTTCTCTTCTCAGTTTGAAATTTAGAGTTGATTCCTCATTGCCTTCTTGTCTGTCCGTCCATCCATCCAACCATCCATCCATCCATCCATCCATCCATCCATCCATCCATCCATCCATCATCTACATCTCTATAAATATCTATCATCTCCATCCATTCATCTGTCCATCTACCCATGCATCTATGAATCCATGCATCCATCGTCATTTACCACCGATCTCTCTCTCTTACTATTCCCTTCCATGGCACCTCTGCAGTAACAGCCTAGAAAAGATCGAGGATTCTGTGGGCTGTCCGACTGGCTCAATGACACCCAGATACAAAGACAGGAGACAAAAATGTCTAAAGTAGATGCAGCCCACATGACCCTGAGTCATCGAGAGAAGATGAATCCTCTTGGTATCTTCTGTTTAAGAAAGCAGGGAAATGTGTAAGATGGTTTAGAAAGATTTCCATCCAAAGTGGAAAAAAATAGAGATAGTTGTGATGCTCAAGGAATAAGTTCTAGTTTTCTGGAAAAGTCACCTATGCACATTTTTTATTTCCCAAAGTTGCCCAATAAATCACAGTAAGAGCTGGAAGGGACTGTCTCCATTTTATGAAGGAGAAAACTGAAACTCAGAGAGGATAAGCCACTTCTATGAGGACACAAAGTACAAGGCAATGGTGGGATTTGAACCCATGTCTTTTTTATTTCAGGTGTGGTAAGATGGAAATGTACCACTCAGATGCCCCTTTAAGGAAGGGGGCAGTGGGGTTTCCAGCTGTCATCTTCAGGGTCAGCCTCAGCTACAGAGAGCTGCCTTAATTGAAGTCACATCCTTTCTGGGGAAACCCACATCAGTGACTGAGTGAAGTCTGGGTCTAAAGGCCTGGCCGTGTCAGCCCTATGTGATCCACTCTACTCTAATGGCTAATATTTGCCCCAGATCTCCCTAGCAGGTTGGAGGATAATTTGTCAGGCCACGACTCAGTGCCACTTCTTCCTCTGCCTTCTCTTTGCAAGTGTTGATCCCTAATAAACATCTACTCCGAACTGTCTCAGCAACCCCTTCCAGAGAACCTGATCTGGAACCGCTGAGGAAGCAGGCAATGAGGTAGGGCCTAGGAGCTGGGTCACTTCCCTCCAGGCTGGCAACCAGTGATGGTGTGTGGAACACAGACAGCCTCTGGCTCAAGGCGGTGTCCAACTGTCCAAACTTTCATGGAGGGAACTGGGAAGGTGCCCTGGGGGAGGGAATGCACTAGCAGGAATGATGCATGAGGTAGGTGATGAATAGAGAAACTGGTATCTGTAAGCCTAACTAGACAGGAGGGCTATTGCCACAGGCTTTATGCTCTGCAGAAACATAAGAAACAGCCGAGGACAAGTAACAGGCACTTGCTCCAGGAGTGAAAGCCAAGAGCCTCTTTGGTTGCAGACGGAGAAGTTCTCATCACCTGTGGCAGGAGGGCAGACCAAGCCCAGGACTCAGCGTGACCAAACTTCAAAGGCAGTAAGCTCCCAACCAAGGCAGTTTGTCATGCTACGGCCAGGGCCCTGGTTGGGACCTTGACAATGGAATGGGCAACCTGGGTGGTACCCCCAAAGATGTTTCCACTTTTGGGGCCATTATGAATAATGCTGCTATAACCAGTTATGTTTGAATACTACCTGTTTTCAGCTCTCTGGTATAGACCCAGAATTGGACTTGCTGGGTCATCTGATAATTGTATATTTAACTTTTTGAGGAAGCTTCAAACCATTTTCCAGAATGGCTTCACCATTTTCCATTCCCACCAGCGATGTATGAGTTTGGTGATATTTGCACTTTCCTGGGGGGCCCACCCTCCTCTTTGGGCCCATGTGGTTGATGGTACTGACTCCCTCCCTTCTCTGCCCCGGCGATGCGCATCTAAGCCTGCCCAAGCCGCACATGCCCCGAGTGCTTCAGGAATGAGCGCGTGCCCCAAGCCAGGCCAACGAGATTCAATTCTGAATCTAGATCAATCCCTGGCCTTTTGTTCCTTGGACCAATAAATCCACCACCTTTTTTTATTTATTAAGCCAGTTCTATTTGGGCTTCCTGTCACTTGTGACCAAGTAACCACTCTGTGTCAAGATTTGCTTGTTTAAAATCTCTGCCTGGGAGATTTAGCAGATCTGTGTTTTACATTTATTGAGTGTCAACTCTACACTAGACACGGCTGCAAGATGATGCTAGAGTTGGGTTCACTCCGAGAGGGCAAGACTGAGTCATTGAACAGTCAGAAATGCAATCTTGCAGACAAAGGGGAACCTCCGGCTGCAGGTGTTATCATTCCATGACCTCAGAGCTGCTGCGAGGAGAAGCAGAGAACCTGAGTGAAGGTCCATCCACCACAATAAAAGTACCCCCACAACCCCACTGGATAAAAGCCCTCTCCTGTAAGCCTCATACCTACCCTGGCATCCCTTTATTACTGATGCTCGACGAGACTGCTGTCCAGCCTCACTCTCTCATAGGGCAGGTCTTGGCTCGCCGCCATGGAGGGGCAGGACTAATCTCACCTAGAGACCTGGCCCAGCTCTGTCTACCAGGCTCCAGGATGGCTCCCAGGACAGCAAGTCTCTGTTCCATACGTCCCTTCCCTAATCAGGAAAGGAGGAAGGGCCAAGGAGGGACTAGCAGTTGAGAGCTTGCATCTGGAGTTCTGTAGATCTAGGTCTGAAACCCAGCTCTCCTACTCACTTGCTGTGTGACCTCGAACAAATCGCTTAACTTCTCTGAGCCTTGGCTTCCTCCTCCACAAAATGGAAGTAATAATCGTTTTTACTTCTCAAGACTGGTGTGAGGAGTGACAGTGTTGTTAATGATGGTGGTGGTGATTGCTCGTGCCGTGTGCTTACCATTGCAGCCTCCTTACGTACATTTTCTTCTTTCTCCTTCACATCAACCCTGTGAGCTATGTATCATTAACCCCATTTTGCAGATGAAGAATCTGAGGTGCCAAGCGGTCACGGCATGTACCTTGGGCTACACGATTAGTGCGGGGGAAATGCTGGGGTTCAGACCAGGGCATTCAACTCCAGGCCATGCTCTCGCCACTGTCTGACATCAGCTGTACCTCTTTTAATCCTCAGAACAGCCCTGAGGTTGGGGACAATTATTCAACCCATTTTACCAAAGAGGAAACGGACTCTCGGAGAGAGTGAGCAATTCCCTGCAAGGCCACAGAGCTAGAGAGCAACGGGGCTAGGGTTTGGAGCCAGCCGGGCACTGTCCCCACCACGGGCCCTCGGTGCGTCCCAGGCGCCTGTGTTCTAAGGGCCAGGGGCGCCAGGCTGGGGCGGGGCGCACACTGGTGAGCTGGCACAGAAACACTGTCATTTTCTCATGGTTCTGCCTCTAAAGTCTTTCATCCGAATCATAGTCTGCGTGTCAGCGATGCACCATTAAATATTATTTAAAACGTGTCCACTATGGAGGATGGCCATGCTCCTATGCCCCCAGAGGCCTAAGTCACCAGCCTCCCTGCCATCCGCGGAGCCTCCCCAGCACCTCTGCAGGAGCCCTGGTCTCAGGCGCCCCCGCGGCTGGGCTGGGCCGTTGCCGTATCTGCAGGCAAGACTCCTCTCCCGGGTCCGCATGGACGCTGTCATCTGGCTGCCTCCCATCCCAGCAGCTGTAGTCACAGGATGAGCCGTCGGTCCATTCAAACTGCCCTTCCTGGGGCGTGGGGGGCTGTCCATCCAGAGGCAAGGAGCAAGCCAAGGAGAGAAAGATTGGGCCTCTGAGCCAGCTCCAGTTCAGGAATAGCATTCTAAACAGCGTCTCTATCAGTGCCCAAGTCCTCACTTTCAACCCAATGCACTGCTATTATCGCCACCATTACCAGCTGCTATTTGTTGAGGGCAGATTATGTACCATGCCAGGTGTTTTATACATTTTACCCTCACCTTTCTGCAAAGCAGGCACCCTCACCTCCATTTTACAGATGGGAAAACTGAGGCTCAGATTGGTCTGCCCAAATTCACACGGTTAATAAAGCATTATTGCTGGGATTCAAGCTCCCAAGACTCCAGTTCCCTAACTACTACACTTAAAAGAAATCTTTTAAATAGTACACTTAAAAAAATCTTTTAACTACTACACTTAAAAAAAAATTACCAGTGAGTGAGAGTCACTCTTTTTCCCTTTGCTTTTTGTCCAAATAGTGTGTATTTTTCTTGCCTGATGAGGAACTGCTCCCTCCAGTTGCAAGAAAAGTCCTGTTGGGAATTTGATTGGTGTTGCAATAAATGTGCAAATTGTGGAAAGAACTACATTTTTGCAATGTCCTGGAATAAAAGTCATTTATCCCTTTATTCAAGTGTTTAGAAAAGTCTCCCCACAGTACTGATGATTATGGAGGCCACGTCATATAACGGGAATAGCTTGCTGCTGCAGAGAGGCTAGAGCTTCAGATTCCAGCTCTGCCTGCTTCCTGGCTCTGCAATCTAGACAAGTTACCTAACCTCTCTGAGCCTCAGCTTGTACACCTATGAAATGGAGTAGATATCTCACTCAGAGGGTTATTGTGAGGATTGAATGACTGAAGCATGCAAAGGATTTAGCTAGTGCCTGGCACATGGTGCCTAGCCCTGAAAATAAAAAAAAAAAACAAGCCCTTTTGCTGTATTTTTGTTTTGTTTTGTTAATTCTCACCCAAAGTTACTATTATAAATGGAAATTTTGAGATTTTTGTTACAACTTTTATATGGGTTCTTGTCACAGGAATTCTATTGATTAAAAGAACCTATCTCTACTGAGTCTGGCCACTACTGTTACTTCTGCAACTTTGCAAGCAATTTGTACCATCCTTAACGAGTTCTTCTATGGTGCCAGGATAAGCCCTTTACATACATTAGCTCATTTACTTTTTACAATAAGGCACTATTACTGTCACCCCCATTTTATAGCTGAGGACACCGAAGCTGAGAGAGGTAAAAAAAAATTGCCCAAAGTCACCTTCCACCAGTAAGTGGCAGACTAAGAGCTGGAACTGGAACCCTGTCCCCTACAGTGCTCTGAGGCAGAGCTAGAAGCATGCATGCAGATGGAGACAGTATGCAGCTTGCTCAGGGAAAGTTTGGGGACAAAATCTCTGGGTGGAGTCTGCTATGATCTTGCCAGGTATGAGATCTGGCCCCAGCCATCCTGTGCAACCTAATCCCCCACCGTTTCCCACCCACCCCACCCACTGTGCATCCCAGACACTCTGGTCTTTACTGTCCTTGAAAGTACCATGATCTCTCTCACCTCAGGACCTTTGCCCATGCCATTCCCTCCACCTGGAAAGCTATTCCTCTGGTCGACTCTTATTTGTCCTTTAGACATTAGCTTAAATATCTCTTACTCAGAGAGGCCGTGGCACCATGGATGTGCACTGCTCAGAGCTCCTTCAGGGGCACCAGCTGCAGGGAGCATAGTTGACTGACATCCCTGGCTCCCCAGCCCCTCTGGACCCACCACTGGGTTCACAGCCAAACCATGCTTCCTCCAGGCTGTGCCAGTCACTTGTCAGTTAAACAGCATGTCAGAGGTACTAGCACTGGCCTCTTCCTGTCACGGGCATCCTTTGCCTGGGGACTCCCCACGGGCCTAGCCAGGACCTACTCACAACTGTGCATGATTTGAGGCTCTTCTTACCCAGTCCTTCCCCTCTCCTTTCACAAGTCTCAGAGCCACATCACAGTCTGAAGACATTCCCCCCTTCTTCTGCCCCCTCCCCCTTTTTCCTTCACAGATGTTTTCCCTCAAAAATCTCTTGCATGGCCCGGCCGGTGTGGCTCAGGGGTTAAGCATTGACCTATGATCCAGGAGATCACAGTTTGATTCCTGGTCAGGGCACATGCCCGGGTTGGAGGCTCGATCCCCAGTAGGGGGCTTGCAGGAGGCAGCAGATCAATGATTCTATCTCATCATTGATGTTTCTCTCTCTCTCCCGCTCCCTTCCTCTCTCTGCAATCAATAAAAATATACTTTAAAAAGAAAATCTCTTGCACATCTAATCACATTTTTGTGTCTGCTTTTCGGAGAATGCAAGCCAAACAGGGGCCTTCCCTGACCACACTATATGTTCCCACCATATCCTCTGTCACAATATTTATCGCATCCTCACTGAGGTATCTTGGTGTCTGATTTCTCTGTCTGCTGGGCACACAGCAGTGACCTGGTACATAAGTTCCAAGTGGAAGGCTGGTTGAATGAAAATGGAATTTCTGCTGGAGCTTCCAAGAGGGCCAGATGGCCATCGCTCCCTCACCTGGCTGTGGTCATGAAGCCCTGTCCAGATGTCAGCTGGGATCCCAGGAACACAGCTGTCCACAAGGTCGCACACAAAAACATTCTCCTCCTAGCAGCCAAGGTAAGAAACACAGCAGCATGTCACTTGTGGCCTCTGTTCGCAGGAAGAGTTGAAATCTGAGAGCAATCCTTATTCATCTTCCTTGACCAGAGTAAATAGAGGATGGGAGGCAACCCTGCTTTTTTCCCTGTTTTCTGTTTTAATTAGGTCACCTGGATGTGGCCGTCATCCCATGGGCACCTCTGGATTTGATCCATACTAGCTCAGAGCAGGACTCAGTAATGTGATTCATCCTAAACTTTAAATCCACCTCAAAACACTAGCAAACCGGGCGGGAGATTTTGGTGATACAGTGAAGGGACGAAACAGGAGTGGTACGATTTCTGGGGACGAAGTGCTCTTCTGTCCAACAGGTCTTTGGCCTTGGTCTTGCCCAGCTGGGTGAGCACTGGCATCCCCAGGTGCCCTCTCCTGCACAGTCCACGGTCCCCTGCATCCACTGCTGAATGTGCACTTGGGCCATCAGGCGCCTGGGCAGTGACCGCCAGGCCGGTTTAGCACCGTCGCTCTTTGTTCAATGGCTCCTGCTTGGGAGACAATTTCAGCATATTATTGCTTTTCCCCCATATGTGGTCAAAATCACTAGAAAATGGAAAGGCCCAAGTTGTGCCTGCAAGTAAGAAGGAGCAGAGAGCAGATGAACTTGTTCAATTCAGCTGTCGCTTGGACAGGAGCTGGAAATCATTAGGTAAGTTGAGCGTGAGAGAGCCTTGAACTTCAATTGGACTCTCCGCGGACATAGCTGATTGTGTGTTAAATTATGAAGGAAAGGGCAAAATTAAAAAGCAGGAAGAAAATGCCAGAAATACAGACTTGAAGTGTCTCAAAGGCAAGCTATAATTGGGAATTTTATAATAGTGTCCAGTTTTACGGGAATGAAACCTCATTGATAATAAACCATTGTTCGGATTCAACTCTTGCTCATGTTTTTGGGAGTGTTCTATGCCAAAGTGGAAAACTACCTGCAAAAGAGAGGAAAGGGGGAGAATGTTAGTATAAGAGAGGAAGAGAGGGGCGCCAGGAGTTGAGAAGAGAGGAAGAAGGTAAGTTGAGGCAGAACAAGAGTTGGGTCAGAGGTTGCTGGGAAACCCCTGGATTTGCCGAGAACCCTTCTGATGCCCAGTGAACGGAGGTTTAGGTTCCAGGCACCAGGAGGCTGCTGAACTGTCCTTCCCGAGGCAAAGCCTCAGTTGGAATCACTTCTGCATTGACTCTTTATTGCAGGCATCTCGTTTTCCTCTATAGGCTGGGAATTTTTGAGAACTTATTTCACCTGCCTTCGTAGGTGCCAGTCCTGTGCTGTGCTTTGTATCACAGAGGATTTGCCCCTTAAAGGCTCCTTCCCCTGTCATGTCAACAGCCCTCCAAGTGAGGGGGCACTGATGGGAGAGGGGGGAAAACAGAAGTCAGGGCATTTCCTCCCCTCGCTGGCAGGTGCTGCCTGGGCCCAGCGGCCCAGCTGCCACAGGCCTGGCCTGCCCTCCAGCTCGAGGTGGAACTGGCTTTCCTGCTGCCTCACTGCCGTCTCTTTAGGTTCTCAGAATCCACCACTTATGCATGGATGCCATTCTCTCTGTTTTAAGTATTTGCAGTGGTCCCGTTTTCCTGGTCAGAGCCTGTATTCTCACTACATTCTTCAGCACCACTGAGGATACAGTGGGTGCTCAACAGGACTGTTGGATGAATAGATGGGAAGACTCAAGACTCCTTTGGAAACTAAGAGAGAGAGGACCCCTTCTTGTTTTTAACAAGACTCAGTGACTCTAAAGCATGAAGAACCAACTATCTTTCTAACTTCAAGTCTCTGAGATTCTTAAAAAACAGAGGCAAGATGTTGAATTTGTATTTTGGGTGGCAGTGGAACATATCACACCTGGCTTCACGGAACCTACAAATCAGCAGGGACGTCAGATGTGAAAACAGGTCATTAAACTGTGATGGAGAAACCCTAGGAGAGGTGGGTAATGAGAGTAACTGGGCTGCCATGGAGACTTCCAGAGCTGTGTCTAGAAGGTTGAGGGGGCATCTACCTGGAGGAGGAGATATGGATGGGAATTCCCGGCAGAGGGAACAGAATGTGCAAAAGGATGGAGGCATAAAAGGGCTGGACCAGTGGAGAGCTCTGAGATGGCCCGCGTGCCTGGGGCTTAGGAGACAGGACGCTGAAGGATGCCTTGGTGGGCGAGCTGTGGAATTCGACTGCTCGGGTTCAAAGCCGAGCTTCACCGCTTTATAGCTGTGTAACTTTGAGCAAGTTACTTACCTCTTTGGAAACTCAGATTCCATATCTGTAAAATGGAGATGCCGACCTCATTTGGTTTGGGGGAGGCTTCATTTGATGATGTATATAAACACTTAGCAAATAAAAATCAGCTATTACTCCTTATATTATATTCTTTGTATGGATATCGTGTGAGTTGTATACAGGGCCAAACCCCCTGTGATAAAGGGAAGGACACAGCACAAGATTGACACAAAGATGGACCTTCCAGCACACTCTTTGTTCCTCTTACTAAATGCTTTTCCTTCTACTGCGAAAGATAGTTTCAATGAGAAATTGGGCTGGATAAAAGTTAGTCTCAATTACTAAAGAGAACACTAGTGGAAAACGCCATTCTCCACTCCCCTCTCCAAGGGGGGTGCTGGGTTGGGCTATGGAGGACCGAGGAGTCCACTCGCCTGTGGATGGAGGCCAGTTTGGGGGACTTCTTGCCAATGGAGAGCTCAGAACAGTGGAAGTCAGCCTCGGCCCAGGTCTTACTGAGAGGGGAAAATCGATAGCAGTGGCCTCTGAACTCCATCCAGAGCAGTGGGCACAGGGAAGCCTGGGGCAGCTCTGGGATGGCTGGGGGCAGAGAGGAAACAGCCTGGGAGGAAGGCGGCAGTGAGAACATTGTTTCTACAGCTTTTGACATATTTTCAAGAATGAAAGTAAAATATGTTCCATTATGATTAATGCAATTCTACCCCTGAGGTCCAAAAACCACATGCATACCTAACATTTACAAATTAATCAAAGTAATATATGCTCACTATAGAACACTGGGAAAATGTCACTACTTGGTACATTTTTCTTTATGTCATGCTTGAAGGCAGTGATTTTTTTTAAAATACGATTTTGGTTATATTGTATTATACACATCAGTTAGTATTCTGATTTCTAAAAATCAGAGCACGGAGCATTCCCCAACGTCATGGTAAATTTTAGTAAACATTGTTTTAAAAAGCTCTTCAATACTCCACTGAGTGGCCCCTCTAGAGTTTATTTAATCATTCCCCTATTTGTGGATAATTAGATTGTTTCCCTTTTTAAACAACAATTACACATTATGCAGAGATGAACAGCCTTGCATATAAAGCCTTTTCAGCATTTCTCATGATTTTCTGAGGAGAGATTTTGAAGGTTTGATCCAATTTGCTAAATTGCCTCCTGAAAGCAATTTATACTCCCACGGTAATGTCTGAGAGTACCCATCTCACAGTGTTACCGCTTTATGGCAATCTTTGCAAATTTTATAAGCAAAAACGGTAGCTTGTTTCCATTTGCAAGTCTGGGCTCTCTTGCAAGGGTGGACATTTTTTCCCACATGTTTATTGACAAACTACAGCCAAGACTATTTATATCATTAGTTCATCAAACTACTGGGGTTTGTCCTTAATTCTGAAAAGGCATAAAGGAAAAAATCCACATTTGAGACAGTAAAATTCTCCCAAGCTTCAGCCGCTCTGGAGGCCCCTTAGGAGATGAGTTCTTTTTGAAACCACGAGTCCAGATAACTGGCTGGGGAGAGGGAGGCCTGCTGAGGACCATCCTTGAACTAAGTTGAGTGGCTAACCTATGAGGCCAGGCAGTGGCAAGTGGTGACATTTGATGCCTGAGTCCCAACCACCAGCTCTGCACCTAACAAGCTGTGTGACACTGGCCCACTCGTTCCCTTCTTAGCTGTCAAACTGGCTGATCTTTGGGTACCTTCTGCAGTGCTCAGGGATGTGGAATCTTTGCCAAAGTCTTTGATCTTAAAGTCCACGTGATGCTTCCTCGTGGGGAAAACAGGGGGGCTGAGGATGGTTAATTGTCTTTTAGCACCTTCTTCATAAGGTTGCACTTGGCATATATGGATTGCTCTCTAATAGTATGATTTTGAATGACTAGCTCAGGGTTTCATAACTGGGGCTGATGTGCTTCAGGAGTCCAGTGAATCCCCTGAAATTAAATGCAAAATTAAAAGGGTGTGTGTGTTTGTGTGTGTGTGCACACGAGCGTGCACCTCTGTGCATTTTTCTGATGAAAGAGATAGTTGCATTAATCAATAGACCTATGCTCAGCAGGCAGGCTCCAAGCCACGCTTCCTGTCAGAGCCATTGGGCTTTTCCACCTGACCAGGGTCAGCCCTGGTCTGTCCCACCCCTCTGGTTGGTTCTGGACGGCTGCCTTTCAATGTGCACCACTTTCCAAACTGGTTCACAATTTGCTCCCTTAATTCTCTACATGGCAAAGGGAGAGGGCTGTGCTTGAGGAGTTCAGTGGGCTCAGTATCCTTGGCCCGTCCCTGCCCCTCGGAACTTGGTTTCCTCCTTTCTCAGCTGAGAGCATGGTCTAGGAGATCATTGCCACGATGCTTTCGCATGGTGCTGGCCAAAAGGGCCGAGGGGTCCCTTGGGACGCTGAGCTACTTCAGGCAGTAGCTGAGAAGCAGCAAAGCGTTTCCATCGGCTTTCCACCCTTCACTGTAACCAAGGACACTCGCTGGTTTGTCCAGGAGTTGTTTGGACTAATTGGCATAGAGTATGGTATTTCTGGTGCTAAACCACCTTCCCCACTCCCACCCATCCTAACTATTCCTATTAGAGATGGAAGTTGGGTGGCCAAACCATCCCAGTTAGCCTGGGACAGTCCCAGTTTTAAAACTGAAAGTCCCACATCCCAGGCCTCCCTCAGTTGGTGACCCTGGAGCAGTGCTTTAGGGGTAATTTTGACCCCTAGGGACATTGGTTAAAAATGGGGGTAGTGCTAAAGGTATCCAATTGGTAGAGGCCAGGGATGTTGCTAAACATCCTATAATGAACGAGACAGCCTCCACCCACCACCACCACAAAGAGCTTTTCAACCCCAAATGTCAATAGAAACCCTGCCCTGGAGGGAAGGCAGAACTCCAGAAATATAAAGTAACTCCACTGTGCAGCAACACAAAACATCACAGCAGATATCCATGTTTCTCAGCCTATCTGTATTTTAACAAAAATTAAGCCACAGGCCACACAACTGATTACAAGTAGAGTTGAGTTATTTCTCTAATTTCAGAGTTAAAACATATTATTATAAATCCATGGCTTCAAAGCACAGGGGACACTGCTAGAACGTGGTATTTAAATTCAATGGTGCAGATCTCACCAAAGAATGCTGAAGAAGGGAGGTCTTGCTTCTTTCTCCCGAGTTTGGGATGGAGCAGTCTTCTTTGTCATCTCTGACAGTGGGAGCAGTTTTTTTTCATCTTGGAGCCCCTTTCCCATAAGGTGGACCGTCATGGGTTCTGCTCTATGAGAGAGCCCCAGTCTCAACTCCCGGCTCCTCTCACATGTCGCCATGAATTCTTGTTCAGGGCTGGTCCCCCTTCCCCACTCAGGTCAACATCTGTTGTAACCATCCCTCTCCCAGCGCCTGGCACATACTAGGTGCGCAGTAACTAGTTTTCAGTGATTAAATACATGCTAGGGAATCACACACTGTTTCTTTTGGGCAGCTGTTCCTTTTAGGGACAGTGGTGAGAAGGGGGTGTGCACCATGCACGTGTCCTGACTCTGGGATGGTGCTCCTGGGCTTTCCTCCCTGAGCACTGAAGGCAGGTTGATGAGCCCGGTTTTCCAGATTATAGCACAATAGCCGGGAAGAGCAGCGTCAGCGTCACAGGGAGCATGTTAGCAATGCCGAATCTCAGCACCCCGGCCCTGACCCACTGAATCAGAATCTGCATTTTAACAAGTCTCCCAATGGTTCGTGTGCACAGGAACGTGTGGGAGCGCAGTCGACAGTGGCAGACCAATGAATGGAGCCTGTAGAATCCTTCATTCATTCATTCGCTCACGCACTGAGTCAGGCTTGGCCAGGAAGGCTGAATGATTAAGTAAATTATTAGGGGGCCCTGGCCTGTGTGGCTGTTGGTTGAGCACCATCCCATGCCCAGGTTGTGGGTTCGATTCCTGGTTGGGGTGTGCGCCAGAGGCAACAGATCTATGTTTCTCACATCAATATTTCTCTCTGTCTCCCTCTCCCTTCCTCTCTCTCTAAAATCAATTTAAAAATATTAAAAAAGTATTAGAGGGACTGGGAGGGGAGGATCCTTGAAGAAGCTCAGAGGCTTCTCCAGTTTCCTAAAGCCTGGTGCCTATTTTATTTACTTATTTATTTTTTAAATGTTTTTATTGATTTTAGAGAGAGGAAGGGAAGGAGAGAGAGAGAGAGATCTGTTGCCTCTGGTACAAACCCAAGATCTGGGCATGTGCCCTGACCGGGAATCAAACCTGTGACCTTTTGACCTTTTGGTGCACGCTCCAACCAACAGAGCCACAAAGGCCAGGGCCTGCTGGCTATTTTAAAAGCAAGTCCCCCACATGGAAAACAATCTCCCTGAGGTGTGGCCCCACAGAGCTACTTACATCCCCTCCTCCTCACTCCCGATCCCTTTGATTTTCTCCATTAAGCAAATGATGGTTATGGATGCCTGGGGTGAAACATACCAGAAAATGGGGCTGTCACAGGTCACTGCTCAGTTACTCACCCCCCTTTCCATCTGGGCAGGCAAAGGCCTTTAATTGGGAGGACCTGGGAGGCAAAAAGGAAGCTCCTGCTTGCACTGGGATGGTAATGAATT